TCAAAGTATTACTAATATGGATAACCAAATGAACCGAAACACTATCCCAGTGCCAGACCCACCTAAGTTTGCACAAGACACTCTACGAGGTAAAAATTTAATGGGTCCTCCTTCAACTAACAACTTATCCATGCCAAATATACCAAATAACAAAGACTGTACTAAAGTAAATATGGTTAATAATGAAAAGCAAAACCATACGATATCTGTAAGCAACCAACTTGGATATTTGCAAATGAACCCTCAAAATAACAACAGAGTTATCAATTTACCTGAGAGAAACAGAATGAACAATGCAAATCTGGAGAGCAACATTAATCAGCATGTGCCACAACAACATAACATACGTGTGGTCACCAATAACACCAACGCCAACGTCGCTGGTATTTCGACTGATCCTCTCGCTTTCCAACCAAGTAATGACAACAGCAGTACCATGATCAATGTACCGTTCCAGGCTATACCTAATAGTGCTCCTATGAACATTAACGTAAACTCGAGCAACAACACCGTTAATATCACGGTCCAGAACAATCTGGTAGATCCCAAAATCGCTTCTAAAGCTGCAGCTGACATAAACTTCCCTCTGCAGGCAAATACCAACTTACTGCAAAACCAAAATAACGCTAATAATCTGATGTGTATGCCTGTGGCGAACAATACCATCAATTTGCCGACACAGAATAGTTCCAGCATATCATTACCAAAAGCACCTCCTACTCAGCAATCGGGAATTCCTACTAACGTCGTCAACCCAATGTCTATGAGACCTATGAACAGAGTACTGCCTCTGCATAGAGATGGACAAAGCAAGTCATCTACAAAGACCACCAAAACTGTTGCAGTGCCCAAACAGAGGCCTGTGAGTCACGATATGCCAGATTTGAATATAAAAGATGACACTATTGATAGCGATCTAGAAAAGGCGATTGAAGAATCAAAGCGTATGATGGAACTGGAAAAAGCCAAGAAAGAAAAAGAAGAAAGGGAAGCTGCTCAGGCCATGCAGTTATCAGCCGAAATACACCAGGCCAATACAAGTACTGCCACCACGAGCATGGATACTGGTAGAATCATTGAGTCCACCGAAACCAGCTCTAAGATGTCTTTACCGAGTTTGGATGCAGAGATGATCGATGTCGAGCCACCTAAAGTACTTACAGAAAAAGATACTAACAGGACTCCAACTGCACCAAAAATGCCCAGTGCTTCCAGTAAAGTTATGAAGAGACCTTTGGGAGACAGGAAAACCGATGTAGAACCAGTTGCGACTAAGAAGCAGAATAAAATATCGAAGGAGAATAAACCCACCGCACCTAAGCCTGCTCCTGAGCCAGCGAAGGATGATGGGCCTAAACTAATTTATGAAGTAACATCAGAAGACGGCTTCAACTACACCTCTTCATCGCTGACTGACTTGTGGGCAAAAGTTGTGGAGGCTGTACAAAATGCCCGAAAGCAGTCGGGAATGCCACCGATCCAGTACAACCTGCCTGCTAGTCTATCAGGGGCACATATCCTGGGACTAAACAACAATGCATTGAGATATCTTGTCGAACAACTACCTGGGGTAAGTGTAATGAACAAGTAAGTACTTTATGACATATCTTTATTTGAATATTTTACTAATAAAAATTTTACTTTTATAGGCAAGCCGCTGCACCAAATACAAGATGCGTCAAGGACGTCAGTTGAGCAGCTGGGACAATGACTTGGACCTGAGCGAGGGCTTCAAAGAAAGTCCGTGGGGTAGCGCTCGTACCGGACCAATCGCTAGGAAACAAAATCACGACATGTTCAGTTGGATGGCGTCACCTTTCAGGGAAGAGCCACCACCATTTGGAGGCCAGGAAGGAGAGAGCTCGATTTCTAGGTGAGTTTTACAATATTGTATTTGATATTTTACAACTATGCTATTCAATGAAATTAGAAACAATTTATAAATATAACTAATAAAAATCTTTAAATTTTCAGGCGCCTTGCAACTTTACCACCGGCTATGAGATTCAGACAACTGAAAGAGACATCTAAAGCATCCGTAGGCGTGTACAGATCACATATTCATGGACGCGGATTATTCTGTAAACGAGATATTGAAGAAGGTAAAAATAGTTCAATAGTTTGTCTATTATTTCACCAGTTTATTTTATTTCTTAGTTTGCTTTGAAATAATTTCTTATGATGTTTTATTAATTGTTTATAAATGGTATTTTCAGGTGATATGGTAATAGAATACGCGGGCGAAGTGATCCGCGCAGTATTGGCGGATCAGAGAGAGAAGAGATATGAAGCTATGAGCGGGCGGCGCGGAGTCGGCGGCTGCTACATGTTCCGCATCGACGACAATTTAGTGGTGGACGCCACACTCAAGGGCAACGCAGCGAGGTTCATCAACCACTCCTGTGATGTGAGTTTGATAATACATAGATACAACAAAAACTTGTTATTTCTTGCTTGTCTCACTCACTATGAAATAATTGTTAGGGTAGTGTAAAAGTTTTAGCGCAGATTTAATAATACCTATGTAATTTTGTTTTAGCCTAATTGTTATTCGCGCGTTGTGGACATCCATGGACACAAACACATCCTGATCTTTGCCCTGCGCCGTATTACCATCGGGGAGGAGCTCACCTACGACTACAAGTTCCCCTTCGAAGAGGTCAAGATACCGTGCACTTGCGGCGCTAAGAAGTGCCGCAAGTACCTTAACTAACTATGAACAACCGTTAAGAGTGAGTGATTTGATTGTGTCAATTATGCTTGTGTTGATCTATGATCAAAGAGGTTTAAAATGCTGTAAAACCGAACAAAAATACTGCAAACAGTGATTGTAGCAATTAATTTGTGATAGTCATGTAGTGTTTTTGATCAGTAAATTTTCCAGCCTCACAGGTTTTACTTAAAGAATAGCATAATCCTAGAAGTACATAAATGAATTAGACGTATAACTTAGTAATAACGTGAGTGACTTGTAATCGGACGGACATATTTGACGATTCACCGCAAAATATAAATCGATGGATCTCGTGAGAGTTCTAAGTAAGCCTATTTAGAATGTAGCTTGCGGAAATGAATGCTTGATGATGAAATACTGGGTCGAGCACAATTATTACGTGTACATATTAACGTATGTAAGACAATAAGTCAAATTCACATATCGCGTTACTCCCACCTCGTATCTTGACACTTAGACTTACTGGAGCCTACCTTATCGGACATGAAAACAATTTATATGAATCTTAATATGATCTCTTTCTTGAATCTACCCAGTGTTAGAGTTGTTGGATTTTAAAATAATTTTGAATTAGATTTATTTGGAAAATCGTATTTTGAGATAGGTTTTTACATTTTGTAAATATATTTTAGTTATGTTGACTTTTTTAAGATGGATAGTTGACTCGCGAACGGCTTAAGTGTGTGCACTTAACTTTGATGTGATATGACTAGCCCCGGATCTGTCGGGTAAGAGATGGTTAGTGTGTAGTTAGTGTATATTTGTTCCTCATTATGTTCTTATATTTTCTCTTCACTTGTGATCAGTTAAGTCTCGACTAACATAGCGCGTATGTGTACATATATCGAGGGATCTTTAGGCATAAATAATAATAAAGTTAGTACATTCGAGAGGGTAGCGAAGTTACAAGTACAATGTTACTTTTTAGTAATTTTATCATGTATTGTATAGTAAATTGTAAATAAGAGAAATTATCTGTCATAATAATGAGTTAAACGACAAATCGTTTTATTGTAGTCATAGTGGTAGGTTGTACTTTATAGAGTATATTTTACGGTGTATATATATAAGTTATTTAGTGCGCGGAGCGAGGGCCGCAGCCTCGCACTGCGCGTCCCGTCGACATGTACACGTGGATGACTCCCAGTTACGAAGCACGGTTTATCATAAAAATGCACATTTGTTAGCTTTAATACTACTTCAGCAAAGCTTAATTGTTTTTAATTTTGAAGTTATATATTTTTAATGTTCTAATCGATTGCCTGTGTGTTGTTTTAATTGGCAAATATAATTTTTATAGCATTTTTTTCCTAAGCATTTATAGACTGAATTTAATGCATCACACAATAACAGTCATCACATGAATCAGTCAAATTGCTAGTAAATCTGCTTCACAATTTATTGTTTTAGTAATAGACAGATTTAGATGCAGAAACAAAGAACATTGAATCGTTTTGGGTACCATGCCATACAATAACTGTTAACTATACATTTGTTACTGCATCTAATAATAGCAGTATTAAAATAACTTGTATGTGTCCCCAAGTATTTTATAGATAAATTCAAATAGGACAGATTAAAGTAGGCCCGAATTAAGAGGTAACTATTAGTCATTTTTAAATTTGTACGTTAGAACAAGATGCACATAATAATAAATGTTCCATATTTCTAATATAATTAATGGGTCATATACTGTAAAGTGTAATGTAATACTGTAAACGAGAATCAAGGAATGTGAAGATCAAAGGGATTTTAATGTTGAATTTGTCTGGTATGCTGTCAATAAGGTCTCTATATTTAACAACTATAGGTAGGTAAATGAAATAGACCACTTATTGATAATATATCTTATTGCATGACATTAAAAGTTCTTTTAGAAGTTTAGCTACATTCATTCCTTACTATATCCACTCTTGTTTTACGTGGTATTATTAAACTAAATATACAATAGCTAAGGTAAAATTTTGGTGTTGTAATAAGCTGTGCATATAATTGACGTTTAAATATATAATGTGCTACTTTGTTATACAGGTGTCTTGTTTTAGCGGATATACATTGCTTGTAAATGTCATGTCAGAGCCTTTGTTTTATTTTGTTATGGGCAGTTTGTCTACTTTGTAGAATATTATTTAAAATTGTTTTCGTGAACTGTGTTATTTATTAGAATTGTTCACATTATATGTGATCTTGTACAGCCATCAAGTATAAGCTAGACGTCAGTCACAATATTCATTTAGTAAGTGGATCGGATCTTGATATTTTAGTGTTATTTAGTTGTTATTAGGAAAATAATTCCAAAGCGGGATTTATCATTTTGATCAACATATCTACTAGTTTATATTGCATAATATTGAGCCACTTTCGTAGACAAACAGCCTGAACTTCAGATGTAATTTAAACCTAAAAAGAGATTGCTGATAAACATTCTGTTGTATGTAAACTGTGTTGACTGTGTTCCCATCAGTGTTTTAAATTGGTATTATCCAGCCAGTATGGATATATCTGTAGACTAGTCCAATCGGTTTTAGAACTGAAATGATGCGAACGTAGCCATAACGGTTATAAGCCATTCTTTTTATAAAAAGGTTGTTATATTTTGTTTACATTTGATACGAGAAGTTAGTCGAAGTTATAGCCTACATCGAGTTTATGATAATAAAAGTACAGGTAATTTTAATCACTTTTGATTATTAAGATTAACACAATATTTTTAAAGATGTAGTTTTTATTTTGACATAAGATTAACATGCTTTTCTTTTTCCTCTTTCCTCGACATTTCTTTTGTAAAGTTATTTTACAGATATAACCGTAATGGTTATGTCGATTTTAACAATGGACTATATCAATTGTAAATGTTTTATAATGAAGTTGATTTGTTTAATAGACTCATGAATGCTTTAAAATTGTGTATATGTGCATTTTGTTAGTCGTGTGTACAGTGGCGGTGCGAGCCGTGGTTGGTGTAGGAAGATCTGTTGAGTTCAGTATAATATCAAGTTGTTTACATAAAGGGGCTCCCAGAGACGCAGTCTCACTCTTCCATTGGTAATCGCTCCGTGACTCCATGTATATGTTCCCGATATTGTGATGATTATTCTTAAATCAACGAATTAATGAAATTGAAGAACTTCAGACCTAATTAGACGTATATAAATCAAATTAATCAAATGGACGAAAATAACTATATCACCTGAGAACACCTAAAGGAAATGAAGCGTCGACTGTAGTTGGCGAGCGTTCATCCTGTTTTGCCAAATAATATTTCCGTTCTCTAGTGAGTGTGTATTTAGAATTGAAAGTTAGGTAATCAGTCAATGAGCTCAGACGTAGCATCACTTTGGCGGCAACATATACATAAAAATGAATTAATTAGATATCAAAAGACCAAATCACCAAGTGATGAATCATTTTGCGTTAATTATTAAGTGTATTGCATCTGCCCTTGATATTATTTGTGTTAAAAGTAATGCTTTTATTTTTAAATGTACACAATGCCATTTTGCCTAATGTTATTATAAATTATAAAGAAATTGCTTTAAAAGCACCAATTTTACAATGCATAGTTCTATGACCTGTCTATACATTTTATTACTTTATTTATTTCTATCATTATTTTGTATTGTGGTAAATTTTACCAAAAATAAAAATACTAAAATGTGCTTTATATTTTGTTTTATTTGATTTCAATTCAAGATGTTTACAATCCCATTAGTTAATTATTATAAGAAGCTAAATTCATATAAAAGAAAAAACAATTTAAATGCGACAAGAAATATTTGCAGATGTCGCCTCGTAGAATCGACGTGACACATAAAAGGGTCTTATTTTTTATTTGACTCCGGAAGATTGTGCCTATAATTATATTAAAATGAAAGGTCGAAAACAGATTGATTTTTTTCATGTGTTAATAATGAGGACGCCAAACATTACGTACGAGTGGTACCTATCCACACTCGAGCCCTCAAGCACAAGTTAACACAGGAGAGTATAAGCACCCCATGATCACAATGCCGTAGATGGTAACGAATGGAGCCATAAAATATCGGTCCTCGCAATAAGGAATACTTACCTCAAAAGAGTCAAAAAATTAAGCTATGTATGATATGTACATTTTTATCTAAAGCTGAAGGGCAAGGCCCCAAATATTGACAATGCAGTACATGTACTTGTTCTCCCAACGCACGGTGCAACTGCCATCAGTTGCGGTATCCCAGTAATATGCTGCCGCCGTGTGAATGCCCGCTCCGTTTTTCTGGGTAATGGTAATTCGCACTGTGGGTACAAAAGTGATAAATTAAATTTTATTCTACAAATACCTAGTAAATAAGCACTAGGTATGTACTTCTATAATTATAACAGTGTACCCAGGCAGGCTAGTTAGAATGACCTCTAGGTACTCTAGATGGCCTTGATAAAGTACAAAAGGTTATCAGCTTGGTAACTTGGTACTGCTCGAAGTTGCAACTGGCGGTTGCAGTACTTACTGCATGCATTGAGATATACCTAAGTAGGTGCCTACTAGCAGGAAGGTTACAAAAATTTCTACTTACCAATATATTTGAAGGGTTTGTTCAGTTTATTTAATCTCGCTAGAGTTTTATCGGTAATGATTGAAATCCATTGCGCGCTCCGTGTGTGGCTGAACGTGTTGCCCCCCAAACACAGCTCTACATTATCCCTCACAATTTTTTGTATTTCTTCGACGTTGAATGTTACATTCTATAAAAGTGCATGGTGGTGATATAATTATAGAAATTCAAATTCTACGATATCTGGTGTCTGAACGAGATTTAAATTTGAATTGATGTGGAGGTATATTTGCCTTAAAAGTGTTAGTAAGTAGGTTCTTACGTCGTCATCATCTTCTGCTTGTTGTGCCGGTGCCTGTGCCCCTGCCGGTGCCGGAGCCGCCATGATTCTTCAGTGATTTCTTCGTGAAAGTAAGTAAATGATTAATTGTTTTATGATTGCAAAAATCAATATTACCTTATGCAATGCACGAATAAAACAATGATCATAAATATTAACTGTCACTCCGCAATGCAAACTTTTTGAAATCAGCACGCTATTCCGTGAACTTATGAACTTAGTTCAGGTTTAAATTTGGGTTGAGGATATACACCTTGGGCTTTATTTTTCTGCATCTAAGATATACGATACTTTATTAAAAATAATCTGTTACTGTTTGGTACCTAGAAATAAAAGAAACCTTCCATAAAAGCTTTTGAATCTATCCTTGAAATTTGAACTTGCCGCTTGTTGCACAATGGTGTTTTAGTAATATTTCATTAATTTCATGGACTATATTATGTAGTCAATTGTTTGGCCATGAAAGTGTAAATTCCAATAATTGTTTTTATTAACATTGATTTTATTAGGTTTAATTTAGGCTTTCAGAGGTTCGTCCTTAGCCAAAAAATATAAAAACGAGCCACACACTTTTTTAAATCTATGGATAAATAGCACACAAAAGCTGTCAAATTACATTACATTCTCTGTGGTTGTCATGTCAAGCTTATGTCAGCGACGTGTTTCTAAACGAAAATTTCTCATAAATTCATAACCCACTTGGAGCTTTTATTTTTCTTTATTGTGTTGTTGGTATGTTTGTGTTGAGTTTAGGCTTATATTGTGAGACGAAAAAATCTCGCGTTGGTCAAATAGTGATAAAATGACATCTTAAGTGAATATGTCGTTTATGAGTTGATTGTGAACAGTGTGAAATTAATGGAGCTGAAGGTCTGGGTCGAGGGAATACAAAGGATTGTTTGTGGGGTTACTGAGACCACAACCTGCCAGGTCAGTGTAGAGTTTCTATTCTCATGATTATACCAGTGACACGGTTTGGAAGATATGTGTATTCAATTTCACTTTTAGTAACTTTCGATGATTGTTAATAGCATAATATTTATTTACACAGGATGTAGTTTTTGCATTAGCTCATGCCACTGGTAAAGTGGGCAGATTCACTCTGATAGAGCGGTGGCGGAATAATGAGCGGCTACTGGCGCCACAGGAATATCCCCTGAAGGTATCTTGTGTTCTATTTTTAAGTCAATGAGTTGCAGAAATACTAAAACGACTTTAGGATCGTCTGTTATGCTTACTGATCATGCCATTAAGTATATTGAACTTAGATATAATCCAAAAAGTTGATTCTTTTATTGTTCTGTTTTACAATATTTATTTCATTATAATTTTGTAGCTAACATTCCAAATTTCATTGACATTCAACTGTTTTTAGATCCTAATGAAATGGGGAGAGTACTCCAATGATATTCAGTTTATATTAAGACGGTCAGACTCTGGCAACAACCAGAAACAACAACCTACCAATAGTTCCAGGTCTCCTATAGGAAATGGGTAAGATGGAAACTCTAAAGTTGTGTAATTTTACACATTTTTATTAAATATTAATATTGTAGTACTAGTTATGCATATTTTAAATATAAAAGAGTCTGATTTCATTTTTAATCTTTGTCAAACATTTATTGGAATGAGATTATCATCATTAATGATATTTAACAAATGAACTCATCTGTACATTTTTAACAATGATAATCTAGGTAGTTTTAATTAAATAATGTTTTTAATTTATTCTCCTAGGGGCCATACTGCATCAAATCCTAACATGCTTGACAGCCAGAACTCACCAAATAGGATGTCAACAACACCTACTTATAGCAATAATAATCCAAATAATACATCACCTGGCAACCCTGTTGGAGTAGTCAAGGGAGTGCAACAAGCCAAAACACCTGAGTCTGACAGCCCTGTGCTGAAAGATGTACCGCCATACAGGTAGACATTGAATTCTCATTTAAACATGTACTGACTGAAGCAGTGATGTAACTTTACCCTCCAGGGCCCGTGGTAAATTCATCAGATGGGTCATTACCAATAATAAATAGAAATTCAGATGAAAGCCTCTGAACCGGGCCCCTTTCCAGTCGGAGGCTGTGGCATTTTGCTGACCTTTAGATACGTCTCTGGAGTGATCTTTGTTTAAGTGTGGTTAAAAGATATTTGTGTCTTGTCTGATATTATATTTTTTTTACAATCATTATTTGAGTAGGGCCTAAATAGAGATATCTCTAAGTTTATTACCATTTTGCTTTTTACTTTACGTTATGGTAATCCCAAATTCACCATCATCTGATGATTATTAACACTTTAAAACTTCAACACTTTCAACACTTTCAACTTCAACACTTTAATACTTTTTCAAATATTTGATAAAAAATATTTGATAAAAAACATAGTTTAAAACTGATTGTCTCTTTCTCTTTTTACACTATTATCTAACTAAATAAGTAGAGAGTTAGGCTATGAATACTTTTGTCACATTTTACCTTGTGTGAATCATCATATCCTTGTAACTGTTACCTGATATATCTCATGTATGATTCATAAATATTTCAAATTAAATTATTCACATATTATAGAGTACTAGCGACCCGCCCCGGCTTCGCACGGGTGCAATATGCATGTATTCTACATACAAACCTTCCTGAAGAATCACTCTATCTATTAAAAAAAACCGCATCAAAATCCGTTGCGTAGTTTTAAAGATCTAAGCATACATACGGACATACAGCGAAAGCGACTTTGTTTTATACTATGTATTGATGATACACATAAACATCTTAATTATTAAGGTTTTAAACTTAAGTTTCCTTGTTACTCCTTAAAAGCCAGAGGAGATAGAGATAGATGGAGGTATGGCTACAGTAGTTAACTATCATTTTAAAAAAAGTTCGTAACTACTCTCGTCCTACAATTCTAATAGGTATTAAATGACAATAATGGTATCTGCTGACACTGTTCATTAACACACTTTATATGTCCCACTTTTATTTACCTCTGTGACACATAGCACTATGTAGTAATCAGTTTGCAGTGTTTAGAGTGAGGTAACTCAATGGAATCCACCTATATGTATATTTTCATAACATTTCGTTTCAGTCCTGTTTTAATTAACAAAAGTCTAAAGTTTGATGATAACCATAAAGGTTTTATCACCAGTAATTTTGTCTATGTTCATTATTCTATATATGAAACTTTGACAGAGAACCACCACCGCCATATCGTTCGCCACCCCCACCGTCTCAAGCAGTCAGGAAGTCTCCGAACCGCATGCGTCCGAACAGGCCACAGCACATGTCTCCCGTGAACTTGCCAGAAGAGAGTCAGGAAAACAGGAGTCCTGAGGCAGTCAGCTATAATAATCAGTATAGGGAGCTAGTTTCTCTTGTTAATTATCAAAGGGAGAAGCTTTCAAGTCAACAAGTGGATCTTATCAAGGTTCGTAGATAATGTTAATAAAGCAAAAGTTCTATTTTTTTCAGATGAATTTCGTATATAGGCCCCTAAAGAGATTTTCTAAAAGCATTGGATTTACAAAGAGTAGGCATTGAACTTATTTTTGCATGTAATATCACCATAGCCATCACCAAATCCATAATCCATACAAGTCCACGTTGCATAGCTAAGCAGCAATTAGCTCACTTACCTAACTAACTCTATTCTATCTCTTTACATTTACTTTTTACATTTTTGCAGTATGACGCAGAGATCGGCTTCTGGGAAAACAAAGGTCGGGAGCAGGAAAGACAGGTGGAATTATTACAGCAACAAATTAGCTCAGCGGACAACCAACTGCGGATCAGTACTGAACAGGTGAACTAGTACATTCTCATAAGATCACTCTAAACAATCTGTTGGCACATAATTATCTTCTAACAAAACATTGTTATCTTAAGTTACGTGCATTTAGATTCGCACGGTTTCTTTATTCTATTTCCCATCACGAAATCCATAATGCACTCCTAGTGGGTGATTTGTTTTAGTTCACCATGGATAATGGTAGCAGATTTTATCAGTGTCCGAACGTGATTGTATCTTTTGATATTGTGGTCATAATCTTTCTTATGTAATGGACGAGAACATAGTATTGGGTTGAGTTGAGTACTACAGCACCTAGAATTCGTCCATTTTTGATTATGATGTTAATTTTAACGTGTTTCGGCTATGTATGCCTTTGTAACTATTTTATTTATTAAGTATTCAAACTTGGCTATTCAACTTGTTACTATTGATTATTTTTTTATGGGATAAGCCGGTAAACGAGCAAACGGATCACCCGACGGTAACCTGTGTTACCGGCCTTTTATGGATTAGGAATTTAAGGTTTGTTGGGAAAACAGGGATTGGGAAGATTCGGGAGGGTATTGGGGTAGTTTCCTAAATTTTATTTTAATGTCCGTCTGGTACATTAATTTGAAACATTTGACAAGTATTTTTTCTTTTCTCACAAAAGTGAATACTTTCGACGATATATCAATTTGAAATATCGTCTGACGTCACAACGTGCCACATTTTGTAGCACGACCTCCCCCTCCTAAACTAAGCGCCATTTTATCTAAGCATTGCAACTTAATACGAGAAAATAAAAAAAATACGTGACTAATATTTTTTCATTATCTAACTGACGGACTAATTAGATTTTTAATTTTGTTACCCTGGAAACTACCCAATTGGGCCCCCGGTAACCTCACTCACACGACGAAACAACGAAAGCCTTGTTTCACGTCGATTTTCTGTGAGGCCAGGGTATCCTTCCGGTCGAGCCGGCCCATTCGTGCCGAAGCATGGCTCTCCCACAGTTAAACTTTATTTTAGTTATATGTATTGTTAGACTGCTACTATTTCACAAATCAATCATTGAAGAACCCATTATTTTGCTACAAGCTTTGAGGTCATTATTATATTTAATCCTTTAGGTACAAGCACTGAACTACGTAGAAGAAGAAGGTGAAATAGTGAAACAAAATGAGAAGACGATAAAGTCTGAGATAGTACTGGTGCGGTCAAAGCTTGCCAACTGTGAGACGGAACTGTTGCAATGTAAGAACAAGATTAGGAAGCTCATGGAGGAGATACATAATGAGCAGAGGATTATCAACAGTCGTCATCAGGATAATAGGTAAGGTCTCTTTTACCTGTGCAAATTGCTTTATTTAGTATTACTATACTACGCAAGACTAAAAAGGTTCATTCAACTTCATCAAGGATAGGTTTAGGTTTCCTAAATTACCAAGTGGTCAGTGGTATTAAGTGTGTAATGCGTAAGTGGCGTAATGTGCACCTCTGTCTACTCCTTCGGGGATAAAAGGCGAGTTGTTATGCACGTATCAAACTTTAAATATAAATAAAATATCTTTTATTAGGTAGGGAATATTTTACTTGTAAATAGTCACTTTAAAAATCTTATAATATCCTTTTCATCATAATGTTTTATTCTATAAAACATATTTGATTTACAGTTGATGGAAATAATATTGAAACCAATAAAAACTGAACTGTGATGCATTCATCCACTACGTACACAAAACTACTCTCACATAATGTTACATAACGCCGTAGTATTCTGCAATAGCAGTTTTCTCTTTTTGCAAATAATCATAAAATTACCATTACTCAGAACATTTTTTACCGATTCATAAAATTAAATTATACGCCATTACTTTTGACCCTCTATTTACTTTTTTGACACTACACAGATTATAGTACGCAAAGAATATTTTGTTTATCGCATTCTTAATCGCGAGTTGCTTTTTTAAGCAGTTTTAAGTCTTGATGGTATGCAATTACGGTGGTAATTAGAAGTACGTTGATGTTAAGTACTTTTGTGAGAATTTGTTTTGTATTGTTCTTTTGAGAGTTAATACCGGACTGAGAATTTAAAAGACCTTGGCATTTATTTGTTTGGATTCTACCTGTAATTTGTATTGACTAATTTACAGATAGTTTTTACATCTGAAGTTGGTTTTTGTTTGATGACTGTCAGTTTTTATCAAACTTTGTTTATTTATTTATGCAATATGTATTGCACACAAAACAGATTTTGTTTAATGTTGTATCTTATGATTTCCTTGAGGTTAATTTTCGGACGTATACTATAATATATCCAACAGTCACTGGACTTCTGTCTGTCGCTTCTAAGTATGAAAGTTGTGATACTATATGCATATTTTCTTTGCATATTAGGCAGTCGCTGGAGCGATCAATGCTCGCTGAAATGGAGAGTTTACAAAGTCAGATACAGCAGGCGAAACACGCGACTGAAATCAACAATCTCACCGCTGAGAATTTGAAGAGAGAGGTATGTGTAAATGTGTATGAGTTGTTCGTTTTTGTTGTTATTATAGAAAGTTTAAATGTAAATAGCTCCTGTATCAAATAGGAGCTGATAAATGTATTACAATTTATTATTTAAATTTAATTTTATCTACTTTTTTGTATAATTAAATTATTGTACTCTTAGGAAATTGTGAAAGTGTTTTCTTGTGTTATTGAAATTAAAGGCATTATTAGGTAAAACCAAAAACAATATTAAACTTTTACATTCAAGTAGAAACTATTTTTTTTACAGGTTGGAGTACTAGAAAATGCCATAATGGAGAAGAAGCGCCAAGTGGAGCGGCTGGTGCAAGAGATGAAGGAAGCCAACTTGCAGAGCCTGACCGGCAGCGTGGACGAGCTGCGCCATCCGTTGGACGGTATGTATGTATACGTATAACATAAATAACACATCACTACTGTTTATTACAACTTAGTCCTTGTTATAGAGATCATTTTATATAGAGGAGGGAATTTAAAGGGTTTGGGAGAAAGACTAGGAGTGTGGGAGGGACTTTTATCTTACTAAAATCTTTCTAGTAGTCACCATAGCAAGACAAATCTACATAATTCTTCCTAGAATTTCTGTGTTTCCTACATGGAGGAGAATCTTTCAAGTTACATTTGTGTAATTGTTAAATTGTTTTTAAGGGTTAGATACGAATAATTATTTAATACTGAAAACTCATAAAACTAACACTTTACGCTTTATGCCGATAATGTTTACTGTTTGATTGATGATTTACTATTATTGAAGAAGTATTGTTATAAATTCTGTTTTTCTTAATTTACAGGGCTATGCAAGGCAGGTAGCGCTCGTAGGATCATCGGGTCTCCGAGACAGCTAGAGAATGCGGCGCCCACCAATAAGAACCCCCACGGCGTATGGGTATAATCCAATGAAACATTACTATAAGATCGGCCATTCATGTTCCCCCTATTTAAATGCAACGGCCTAATTTAAGTAGCGAAGCAATTCATTAGATCAAAATAGATATAATTTTTACATTGGGTTTCTGAATCAAATTGATCAAATGTTGAATCTCACAATTTTATTATAAATATTTAGCTGTGTTTCTGTTCAAAAATAATTTGTCTTCTCAAAGTACTAATATGTATAATAAAAAAACTTTCTTGTAATTCTCACATTAGTAGGCCTGCCTCCTGAAAAGATACCTCGGTGTTATCTCAGCATTATTTAGAATTTTACAATTTTATTTACTAAGTTAACACTTTAACCTTTTTATATTTGTTTGTTTGATTTGGAAACCCAGCCTCAGTGCTGCTATACAATGTGCACGATATTATCTTGTGGTACTTTCTATAGCTTATGGTAGCGGTTAATTTATTAGTATTTGTGTTCAAATTAGTGTCATATTTAATTATTATTTTGTCACAAATTATTTTTTTTATAAGTGTGTATTGGAATATTTAATGGAGTGTACTTAAAAGTATCGGCTTGATATTTTTACCTTACACTGAAAGTATTATTTTGTCTTGCCGTATAGTTAACGTTTTTTTGATATTGATCGATATTGGAATTAGATGGAACAAGTGCATTTCAATTGTTAACAATATTATTTAGTTGCGTGTATCGTGTGTTGTGTTTTGTGTGAATTTTAATAAAATGCGATATATAATCGTAGGTTTGAAACTAACAACGCATTAGTTACAAATTACTCGCAATCAGTTATCCATTTCAGTATCTAGTTTCGTAATTTTATCCCATCTATTATTGTGTTCTGTATTTCGGAGATTATTTTTAACTAGGAAATGTGGAGCGGTGAGTGATGAGCCATGTTGAGTAATATTGAGCAAGCTTGTTTTTAATGTGTGCTCCTAATGCTCGAATGCTGAAACGCTTCACAATTTTAAACTGCACTTATGCCTCTTGTTATCAAATAAGACGCAGCTTAAAATTGAGGAGTGTTGTGTATAAGTATTATGCCTCTTGCACTGCACTGTAGCTGCAAATAGGTGTGCTAAGTTAAAGTGAAATATCAATGTACCATTTCAATGTATTTATAAGAATTACACTTCACTATATTACGAATCTCTACGACCTATATTACTGTTTAAAAAACTATTTACACTACGATTAATTTGCAATATAGATACTTAATTATAATAATAAATCTAGTCGAAAGTTTAAGCCATTGCAATATTTTATAAACAAATATTAACCTTGATTTTAGAAGCATTTTAAATATAATAATGGCATTTATGACAAATCAAATTATTAATATTATAGTGTAATAGATGTAGTGTGTACTCGCTGCGTATTATTTAGATGTTCTATGAGACTTGAAGAATATAGTATGTTTTGTTTCCTACATGGCAACTAATTGTAACTAGATGATTTGTGTATACTTCATATTATAAATAAAGGACATATTGTATACTGCATTCTATGTTTTACTTAGATCTTATGTAATAAGACATACTAATAAGGACTTGAGATATTTGATCTTGAAATTCTTAAGTTCTGTGTATTTATGGCACTACTCCATCTCAGTGGCTACTTTATTGCGGGCGAACAGATTAGGATGTTTTTGAGTGTCCATATTTTTAGGTTTCATTGTACTTTGTAGATTAGATGGGGCTAGTAGAGGTATAAAGTTGTAGCATATTTTTCCTCTATTTAATTGTTGTCATATAATTTTGATTGATAATGCACGATGATAAATCTTTATCGTGTGAATTGACGACAAGGCATACATGTATATCACTAATGGAGAAATCGTGTTTTATTGACATTTTCTTGAGGCAGTAGTTAACGTAATATAAATTTCGAGGTTACGCTAAAGATACTACTGCGATACATGTGCACCCATATCTAATCTATAAAATAATCATAATAAAAAGTACTGATAGCGGGACTCTCCAAATTTCGTGAATAACAAACACAGACTATGAAGAAACTGGTTTATTGAATTTAGAAAATAATAAATATTTATTGTTTCAACTGCGGTACAGATTAATGTAGATATTACAATAAAACCACTATGCATTATTTATTAATCCTTATATTGAATATAACTTATTTAATGTAAGAAATTAAATCTGTTTGCAACTATTTTATACAGAATGCTTTCTATTCAAAGTTGCCATATTGCGTATCTAAGTTATGCCGTACTGTACTTAAAGTTCCGTATTTGACAATTACATAACTAATATATTTACAACATTTCGTCAAATCGCGGAGTCAATTACAACATAGATTCGTTTACTTCTATCTTGAACTGTTGTGGAGATTCAACTAGTCATACATCAATTAATATCGCAACTTACTGTTACGACCACACGTCACATAGAAAGAACTCAATATTCATAAAATTTAAATCACATTTCAATACTTGAAAGTGTTCTAGGCATATTGCCTATACATGGACTAGAAACAAGTGAATACTTTAATATTTCATTTAAAATATTGGAACTTGCAGGGGTCAGGATATCACTAGCAGCTTACACTCCCACTATAGCTACTTAATTGAAGGTCTTAAGTTAATTTATCACAATTTGATACCTACCACAAGCACCATCGTGTATTGCAGTTGTATTCACTGATTTCAAATCCACATGAACCTTAAACCTAGGTATCTAACGAGACTATGCTTTCTCCTCTTTCTCCCTGTTATACCGTTCTAGCTCTTTTAAGAATTGTCCTTTAGGTTTCATGACGTTGGGTCTATCGCCACGGCACTTTGGACAGAACCACTTTCCTTTAGGTTTCGTCGAGAGTGAGACGCATGAGAAGTGGAACCACTCAATGGGACAGAGATCATTGTCACAAAGGATCATCTCGCCGAATGATATCTGGTCGCAAAGACAGTACCGCGGCTCGTCAGGGTCGATAGCATCTGTCTCTTCGGGCGGTGTTTCTGAACGTTGTGCTGCTTGACGTGCTTTACGCTTTTTCTTTTTGCCGATACCTGCAGAATAAAATGACAGTTAGCAAATTTTGTTTCATAAAACATGTATAATGGTAACATTTTATGTAGATATACATACCTTTCTTGTGTGTGGTGTTGTGGGCGTGCCTTTCACTGTCTCGTTCACTGGAATCTGCTCCGTCTGTGGCTGCACCTGCCGTTGTTCGTGAGCGTCGTGCGCGTTTTGACCAACGTTCACCTGTTATAAGAATAAAACAGATTCATGACAATTGTTAACCTGTATTTTTATTAAAACTTGCACTTCTTTGACGGGAACCATTTTAAGGGGAAATTAAATAGCAATTTGAAGGTTTCAAACATACCTCCGGACTTGTCTCGGTCAACTTTCTCTTTTTCCTTTTCATTGCTTCGTTCAGGCGGTGGAGGAGGTGGTGCATGCTGTGGTGTAACCACTGGTGCTGGGGTCTCTTTCTCCACAGTTCTGATAGCTTCTGGGGCTGGAGCGGGATCTTCTTTCACTGTACCATTTGTCTTCACCTCCAGGCAAGATACTGCAAACATATAGGATTAGTAAACTGGCTAGTAGTTATAGCTTGGGCTTGGGTCACTCCTGGCTTGTTGCCAAACTAACAGATGTGACACAGAAAATTATTTAACAACATGCCTTGTATTTGTTTTGGTTATAGTCAATAATGCTAAGATAGTCTATGTGACAGATAATTAGGTTATTTATTTATATTTTCCACAATAAATAATTTTAAGGCTACACTTTGAATCTAATCATATGTCAATTAACCTAAAATAATTAAGTAAAAATACTCACATAGTTTTTTATGATCTGCATCAAGTGACCTTTGTTTGTTGTCAATTAGGTCTTGTAGTATCTGTACAACTTGTAGTTTCTCGTCGCCTATCTCCTGAGCTGCTACTAGCACTGTTTGCAGCCGCAAAGCCGCGCGGCTTCGGCGACGTTCGTCTGTGTTGGGTCCTATACATACTGCTAAGTGCTTCTCAGCTTCCCGAAGGCATTCTAACAAAAATAAACACAAAAATTAGCACATAGCAACCAAAAAGCGAATAGGTTACCTTCACAACACAAATCTTTTTATAGTCCACAATAAGGTATAAACAACCACTTATATTGAACTTAATTCAAATCTTTTTATAACCATGTTTAGAAGTAACAACAGAGTAGTGGTTTTGATGTTATTTTGGTCCACTTGTACTCACGAGTAGTAATCTATACATAGGTATGCATACGTAATGAGGTTGAAAGGCGAACGTCAACAATATAGTTACAAGCTGTTGTATCAATTTTTAATAACATATATAACTGTTAATACTTAGTAAGAGGAATTCTAGCTTAAAGGACATGTAGAAATTGGAAAATTACCTCTGTATGTTACGTCAAGCTCTCGCATACGCGATAAATGCCTCTGCAGGTCATTCGGAAGATTTTCAACACAATCTAAGTAGTTCTCGACGTAAGTTGCTGAGAGCAACGCCTCAGTTGATGTTTGATTCAACATGGTTAAAGAATAAGCACAGTTTTCATAGTGATAAAACAAGAGAAACGAATAAATCACTTTGAAAGCGAATAACAAGTCCACTGCATTCAACAGCCGTCCCGTCAAAGCATCATTTCGCGTTCGGAAACGAAACCATTACGTTTTTTTGTCATAGCGAGTTTGACGTTCGATGACAAAAAATAGTGAGATTTTTTTAGAGTCCTTGAATGAAGTATTTGTTATAAAAACATAATCCTCGTGCAAAATAAAAAAAATACGAAGCAATATTTTATTATCGTTCGTCGTCCTTCGTAAGAACAGAAAAAACACATTTTTAAAAAAGAAATAAAAATTATTGTTACATTTATTCATATAAATTGCAACAAAGATAAATAATGAATGAATATAGCAAAATGGACTTTTTTTCTGTATTTCTAAATTCTTGTTGTGTGTCGTAGCAAAATAAATAGTTTTTCTTTCTTTCAAAATCTTAGATGTCTCAACAATATATTTTACGTATGTGCACACTCAAACTGAAGTGGTTCATATTTACACTAACAGATGTCGTAAGTTACACAGTACGAAGCAAGAAACTTACTACTACTCACTACTAGATGTCACTACATTCTGTGTAATCTAGTAACAACAAACTAAACAACAAAATAAAAACATACAGCCGAATTGATAACCTTTCTCCTTTTTGGGAAGTCGGTTAAAAACTAGTCGATACTGTAAACATTTTTTTTCTCACTCACTGACATGGAAACACGCATTTAATTTACCCGATGAAAAGAAGCTGCTATAAAATCGCACCTTTTAATCATTGAAAGGGTTGGCAGAGGTGCACAACACATATAGGTAGGTATCTACTAAACGTTACAACCAATTTTCGCCAGTTAGATTAATCCTAAGTTAAAGAGGGTTATTCTATTTCGGTACACTTGTCACACAATTCAAGACATACTTACATAACTCACGCCTGACCCCCACGGGGTAGGCAGAGACTATGGAATATCCCTTTGCCGAAGTCGCGGAGAACCTAACGGTTAACCGGGACTCCGGCTCGACGTGCAGGAGAAGGAACGGGGTGGTTTTTAGTCAGTAAGAGTCTGACACTCCCTTCCGCCTCACCCAGGCGGGAGCAGGTATTCGAAGATTTTCCCCCCTTAAAAAAAAAAATACTTATTGTACTTTTTGATATGGAACACCAATTGCTACGATTCTTACTATCATACTTCTTTCGCTTCCTCAATAGTTATCATTGACATGTTAAATAATTATTCAAAAAACCCAACAACACTTTTCAATCCTAAAGTGTGATAGAGCCATGCTTCGGCACGAATGGGCCGGCTCGACCGCAGTGATGCCACGGCCTCATAGAAAACCGACGTGAAGCAACGATTGCGTTGTGTTTCGTCGTGTGAGTGAGGTTACCGGAGGCCCAATTACCCTCCCCTTCCCCAATCTCCCCAATTCCTGAATCCCCAACGATCCTCAAACTCTTCATCCCCAAAAAGCCGGTAATGCACGGTTGGTGCGGTGGCTGAGCAACCGGCTGCCGTGCAACGTGTCGCGAGTTCGATTCCCGCACGGAACAACACTTTGTGCGATCCACAAATTGTTGTTTCGGGTCTGGGTGTCATGTGTATGTGAACTTGTATGTTTGTAAACGCACCCACGACACAGGAGGTAATCCTAGTGTGAGGCAACGTATTTTTGAAAAAAAAAAATGCACTTGTAACGCCTCTGGTGTTCCAGGTGTCCATGGGGGACGCCGATTGCTTACCATCAGGTGATCCGTCTGCTCGTTTACCGGCTTATGGCATAAAAAAAATCCTCAAATTCCGGTAAGGAACTTGTAACGCCTTTGGTATTCCAGGTGTCAATGGGCGACGCCGTCTTGTTATCATCAGGTGATCGGACTACTCGTTTACCATAGCTTATTCCAAAAAACAAAAAATCACAACTCAATAATAGCCTTTAAGTTCTCTAAAGAAGTACCCCACTCAGATAGGAAACGGAACTTTGAGTGATCATTGACACCTGAAGCGTCTGGTCTCCAGCGCCGGCTGAAGCGTGAAGAGGGGCGTTCTCTCATACGTACTGCCTCTACCGTAGTTAGCGTATAACTGCTTTGCAGAAGGACGAGACAGCTTTCCAAACCAGCTTTGAACTTGTGAACCAGTGTGTGCGAGAGAGGTAGCTGCCGCCGCGCCGATCGCTTCCCCGAGGACAAACCAATAAGCAGAGTATGTTGGGACCACCATATGCTTAATGTTTTGTGCCTACACTTGTTTGTATATTACCTATCTAGTCATACCATCAACTGGATCTACTATTCTTTTTTCTCTTACGATCGACAAATCTGGTAATTTCTAATTAAGCCATAAAAGACGCAGTGTCCTTGCTTTGTTGTTGTTAGTGGACACTAAACAAAAAAATGCAAAGGTTAATCATGCAGTTTTGAATAAGTCCGACCTGAGATCATTCTTCTATTAAAGGACATGGTTAATATACTAATATCATACTAGTCGAGGTCGATTTCCACCTACAACCTCCCACGTACACTTTGTCATAAAACCTAAACGCAAAACGACAGTTTGCCGTACAATCTCATATCACCGACACTGGCTTGAAATTCTAAATAAAACATTGCCTTTACATAATTATTCTTTGACAGGTGTCATAAAATTAACAATTTGTAATAATGCAAACGTGATTTACAGCTCGTTTTTATTATAAACTTTCCGTGTACAAGTAAAAATTTTCAGTGATAATAAGTAATAGTGGTTTGTGAGTGTCCCAATGTCATCTACTCTGATTTTCGTTGGTCTGCCCGAGGATTCGAAGAGCTCTATAACGAAGTAAGTAAGTACCAATTTGTTATTACATAGGTACCTTTGTAAACTGTTGTACCTAGTTCTCAGGACTCAAGCAGAGCTGCTATATCTTGGTATTGGTGTTTTCCGCTATTTACTCTTATCGTTTCCACAGTAATCTCTTTCGGCACGTCTTAAAATTGCCCTTCTAAATACTACATAAACTACCATAGCGTCCTTAGTCTTGTCTTGAATTTATACCGAAGGTAAATTTAAGGATACTTCGGTAGGTAATACGCAAGTCGGCAAAACGGTTCTGCGAATTATTGTACCTATGTAAAGGAAATCTAATAAATTAGGGAAGTATTGTAACTCGGCGTTTAAAATGTAAAGGTACATTTATGCTTGTACCTATAAACCTGTATGCAACGTCTAATGCGTATGGGTAAGCTAGTTATCCACTCAAAGAGCTTGAACAATATTATTATGTAATTTTGCTTTTATGCGTTTTGAACGAGCGTCTCAGTGGCTCATAAAATCCATTTTAGAATCGCTTTTATTATTTCCTCGAACAATGGATCACCAGTTTTGTGTACTTACGTTCTGGCTCCGACATTGTTCCTTCTTATGAATTATTGATTTCCAGAAGCCAAAACCAACACTAGATTGAATGATAGACATTGTGTCGTAGTATTAGTATGTTCTTGTACCTTTCTGATTGTTATTAAAATAAATTTATGGTTTATATTATTATCTATGTTGATAATAAATTGGCATGTCATAAAAGACAGAGGAAAAATTATAATCGAACAAGTCCAGTCCTTTTTCTAGTCTAATTGTCCAGTAATTTTAGCATCTCTTAAGAAAACTTATTTCACTGGTTTTCTAACAGTCCTGAGAACAGAAATCTGTTTGAAAGTCTATTATTTTCACACAAAACATTACAACTATCTAAAGGTGGTGCGGAATTGCTTGACTCTACCTTGGGCCTACTAATAAAACTGACGTAGGCAGGTAATTTTATAAACAATATAATTTAAAAGACATTATTATATTTAATGCTGAGCACACAGGCGGTACCGTGGTACTAGCTCCGCGCTAATTGAAGGTGTAGGCAGTTCTAGATGTATTCTGCACCGTGGGCGACGCAAGCGCGGATTTGCCTTGAGACTCCCAATTAGGGTGAACGACTGGCTTGTTTATGTTTTAGTGGTTTATTTGACTAAATTAGGTGTTATTGTGCAATATTATATTGTTCACTACAACCTAAAAATACCAATGTTCGTGTTTTCACGACCTTGTAATTGTAGTGTTGCTTCTAGTTTCGGTGTTTGTATTAGAAGGAATTTGTTTTCCTAAATGATGCATCGTTGTTTGTTAGTCGTTGGAGAATATTAATTTCCTGGTCGCGTTAAGACGCAGTGTTAAGATTTTTTATTTCATTCGACGACAAGTTATGATTTAAGAATAGCACAGTGGGTAATCAGCAGCTGCATTCTTTAACGTAGAGACAAGGAGTTAAACCATGTGAAGCCCACTCAAGTAACTCATAAAAGTAACTACCGACCAAGCAGGTCTCTGGTTCGACTACCGGGTTTCGTTGTATATGTATATTTTTCATTCTTATCTTAGTGTAACTAACTTAATATTATGAGTAAAATTTCCAATAGTTAGTTATTTGTAATAAATCTTAAAATGGGTAAGTAGAAACATTATGAAGAGGATTACTTCTTGATGTAGGCGTATGCATCGCTTCGGTGCAAAATGCAGACTTAACTAAATGAAATATGGCTTCACGGGTCAGCAACCCTTTAGTAACCGGCTACAAATGAAGCGAATACAATATAATAAAAGTACAATATTTATTTATCTTTTGACAGATGTTTGTTACGTAATGACCGACTTTTCAGGAACTGTATCCATTTTAACTTGAAAACTAAGGTGATGCGTTGTTTAATCTAGGTATAGATTAGCTTTTAACAAACCGTTGAAGAGACGACTTTCTGCTTTTTAAATAAGGTAGCAACCATACTGAAATGCCAAAGCAAATTATACTAAAAACGTTATTGAATATTTTGAAGAGCTCTCAGAATAGTGATATTTAATTGTGCGCCGTGCCGTGTGCATTGTTCTGCGGGGGCCTTATACAGGCTCTATCCAGGTGTCGCTAGTGTGTCATTAGAGGTGCGATTGTCACAATGGTTCTGTTGTCTTTGACAATTCGCTTCGCTCATTCGCCATTGGTGGAAGGAACCCGTTTACACAATAGAATTGTCTCCTTAATTTTAGTTCGACGTTAATTTTCGCGGCCCTTTCTAATTCTTGTCGTTGTGTGCGTTTCCTGTGCAATATCTTTTAAGTTTTTGTGATCGAAGTTAGCTTTTTGTTGCAGTTTAATTATAATCTATTATTTAAATTATAATCTATAATGGGATTTACGATTTACGATGTTATCAAATAGCAAGAGGCCTGAATAAACCTACGCGATGTAGGACAATCAAGTTTCCCTCCCTAAATAGGATAGACTGGTAAAAATAAAACAATATGTGCAGTAAAAATATGCAAAAATATCAAGAAAATGATAAAACACAACGATATCCCACCAACACCTCAATTTTAATCGAGTTAGTATTCAACCCGCATCGTCGGCGCGATGTTAATATTCCACGCTATTACCCCGATCAATTATAGGTAACAGGATTAGGTCCCTTGCGCCAGGAGTGTGGTAACAGGATCGTGCGGGTGGCGAAGCCCTGCAGCGTCCTCCCACGCGCTACACACTGCACACACGACGTAGGTACGACGTGCCCTGTCATTTGGTGCATATTGAGTTTCCGATAAATAATATACTTACCTATGATTCTGTTTACACCTGCTATGACTGCTGTTGGTTGAGGGTCTTCCGGTTGTCAGGTTTGAGTAGCTGTTTCATTAGGGGAATGTGTTTAGTTAAAATTCAGGGTGGTTTTGTTTATATGTATTTTATTTTTACCTGAGTAGGATATTTGGTAGTGTTATGAAACAAATAAGAGACGTAGCAAACCCAGAACTAGCTAAATATATTTACATCTCTCTTTGCCAATCGATTCTAACGTATTGTATCAGTACTTGGGGGGGCGTAGCTGCGTCACATTTAATCTCATTGGAAAGAGCTCAGCGGTCCGTGATAAAGGTTATGCTAAAGAAGCCCATAAGGTATTCCACAGGACATATTTACAATGAGACGAACTTGCTAAGTATTCGCCGCCTTTACATAAAAGCTGCAGTCTGTCTTACACATAAACAAATATTGAAATCTGAATTTTACAATCAAATGCTGACTAATCGAATATTTAGAATCCCGGTACCCACAGTCAATACTTCCTTTGCACAAAGATTTTCTAATTTTCTATTTCCTTATTTATACAACAAAATCTGTAAAAATTGTAAATCTAAAGAAGATACGGTGCACGTAATGCAGACAAAAGTTGCAAAGTATTTAAATAATTTAACATACAACGAAGTAGAACAGCTATTAAAACCCACACAGTAAGATGCTGAAAATACTCTTGCGCATAACACACACACCC